ATTGATTAATGAGTAGCCAAAACTTGCAACTACTACTAATATGTAAATATTGACAGAATCAAGAGAAAGTCACACATGAAAATAATTTCACATATTCAAAGCCATAAAAATGATGATATGGATACAGGGCAGAGGGTCTAATTAGGTTCTTGTTTGTTCTGTGTCAACAAGTCAGAACTGACTTATAGCAGCCCTAATTGGGCTTCCAAGGTAAGTGAGATATTAAAGGAATGGTTTTACCAGTTACACTCTCTCAGTGAGTTTCCATGGCCAAGTGGGGATTCAAACTCTGTTCTCCAGAGTCCTACTCCAGTCTCTCAGTGAGTTTCCATGGCCAAGTGGGGATTCAAACTCTGTTCTCCACAGTCCTAGTCCAGCATTCTATCCACTACACTGCATTGGGAATCCAGTAAATGAAGTAAGGAGACAAAACTGACATAGTTGAATGTTCTCTGGGATTTTTCTTTGTTGTTGATGGTGGTGGCGGCAGTTTTACCATGAACAAGTTAACAGTGGTCCTATGGATGTAAGTTTCATTTAGGATTGGCAGGAGCCACCGTGAATTTTTTGGAACTTTTCCCTTCCAGGCTTGTAAAAGCAGTTGCTTGGTAAGGGGTGGTTACTTAGTAGTTGGCTACCAGCCAACTACAGTCCAGTAGTCGGCTGAAGGGGTAAGGGGACTGGTGGATGCCTCCTTACAGCAAGACAGGGTTCCAGCCTGCCTAAATGAGGCAGTAGTAAGACCACTGCTGAAAGCCCTCGTTGATTCTCACCATCCTGGATAGTGACTGGTCGGTCTCCAATGTTGGAGTGGAACATTTCTGGAATGAAATTGGAGCATGCAGTGGTTCCCAACTCCAAGACATTCTGGTATAGATTATCTACATCCACTTCAATCTGGCTTCAGACCTGATAATGGGATTGAGAAGGCTTTGGTAGCCTAGCCTGCATCAAGAAATACATGAGGGGCATGGATGTCCCTGGTGGTTTCGCTGAATTCTTGACAGATTTCCATAATGCTAGTGATGGTATATTTCCAAGCCATCTCTCTAGCCTGGGTCTTAGAGACACTCTTTTATAGTGGTTTAATTCCTTCTTGGAAGGCCAGACTTAGAAAGTAGTACTAGAGGAATCCTGCTTGATACCACAGGCACTGGCCTGTGAACTCTCTCAGGTTCTCTTCTATTCCTATGCTATTCAATGTATACATGGAATCAGTGGCAGGCTTTGTCCAGAATTTGGAGTATGGTGCTATTGACTCTATTTCTCCCTTCCATCCAAATCCAGGGAACAGTTTCAGTTCTATACCACAGTCTGGGGTCAATAATGGAGTGGAAAGCAAAGCAAGTGAGTCCACACATTCCATTGGCAGTCAGCAAACAATAATGGAGTGGAAAGCAAAGCAAGTGATTTCCATTGGCAGTCTGCAATGCAATGAAAAAATCGTGTATGCAACTCAACAATTCAGGAGTCCCATTGATAATCACTGGCAATATACTTACTATTTGAAAGGAGGCAGAAGAATTGGGGCAGCCATTTATTCCAAGAACTCATGGTGAAGAGACATTTTATCTTTCAGTAATATCACCAGGGATGGAGAGAGCTATCAAATCCTACAGTGTCTACTACACAGATTTTGCCTTCATTGTGGGGCATGGACACAACTGTAGATGGCTCAGAACTTGTCGCTCCCCTATCTGGTGGACATAGTTCTGTCTGTGTGCTCCACAGACCGATTTTCAACCACAGACTAGCCTCCTGCCTATAGGTATGGTTGATGATCCTACTGTTTAGGGTTGCCAGCTTGGCCAACCTCCTTCCTTGAGATGGAAGAACCAACACCAGACAGCTGATTGTGGAAACCAGTTGAGGGGACTCTGGATAACTCAACCACGAATCTGGTTAAAACCCAGAAAATCTGCAGTTAAGAGTTAGGGCAAAAAGCTTAATTTGTTGGTGGCTGACCAAGTTACAAAATACATTCAGCACCTGCAATGGTTGCCACCATTCTTGCTAGAGCTTGCATCCTCCATGGCCTTATCCACAATGCATGACAATGGGGGCAGTAGTGGTTTCAGGCCCCAAAGTGCCACAGGGACTTGTTGAAGACCTCCAAGAAAAGTCCTTCCCACCCCCAAACCCTGTGAAACTGTCTCCACTGGCTTATGTGACACAGCAATTCCCTGAGACTCCAGCTGGCTCCTCGAGACCTGACATCCTTAAGTCCATTGTCACTGTTGATGTAAGATTCAAGTGGAAATTTAATTAGCTCTTATACATGATGGACAGGAGGAACTGCCATCTTGCCCTGCACCTGGGCTGTTGCCATCAATCTGTTTAGTCTAGCCTTTTCTAATGTGCCTGGAACTAGTCCTTTCCCAAGCCAACAGGATTCCCTAAGATTACTGAAATATATTATTACTTGCTAATTTGGGAGCTTTCTGAATGCAAAACATGTGATTGGTGATGGATCCATCATCCCCTTCCTATTTTTCCCTATGATGGGGCTCAGGCCATCCTTGGACTTTTAGGAGTCCACTCTAAACATCAGTAAAGCCATAAATGACACCATATGTATATACAACATCACTCTTTTTCTTCTGAGCATGTGGATCCTCCACTGCATTTTCTTTTTGCTCAAATTGCTTTATACACATCACCATAGCTAGACTTGTGATATGCATGCATGACCAATCAATGGTATATTCCTGTAGACTAAAGAACGGAGAGATGAAGGTTTGCCTGAGGCTATCTGGTAAAACATATGTGTGTGTGTGTGGGGGGGAAGAACTTGTATGGTGGATTTTCCGGTTCCTAGCTTAGCTAGTTGAGCCATGCTAGCTACTTGAATACAAGAACTGCTATCCAGAACAGCATTCGGTCTGCAATAACAGGAGGTGTTGGCCTTCCCTTGTGACTTGTTTTGATCATTAAGAAATAGTCAAAGATGTACTGCCCTTGAACATAGAAGCCGCACTATACATCTGTTGCACAGATAGATTTTTCACACGCAAACTGCCCATTATCCTTCACATGCATACTGTATAAAATCATTGAAAAGATCACTTAAAACCTGACATCCTTGTTGAATAATGTAAAAATGCACATTACCTTTCCTGGTAATTTCCTATAGCAATACATCCCGTTCCTTACTCCTTTGTATCCCATTTGCTCTAATCCAAGGATGTGCATAAGCCACACACACATGCACAAGAGAGGCTGAAGAAAGCTTCAGAAGACAGCCCCTTGCCCCCAGGCAAGGCTTTGGTGGCCAGGTCTGCATTGGCAAGACAGTCTTACATCAGGCTCTCTCATTCCCCTGTTGCTCTGCAGAAAAAGGAGGGGGAGAGAGTGCATGGAAGCACACAGAGTTCTCCAGACGGGGCATTGGTAGAAGTCGCCTGTGAGGATCCTGGAGAATAGACCAAGAAATAGCCTGGGAAAATGTTATTAGTCAGCCGGATGTGCAAAAGCCACTGTTGCTGAGCTGTTCTCCCCCAGCTTCCTGCATCACAACAGGAGGACCGGGAAATAAAGCAGCCCAGCGCTGTTTGCTCAAAGCTTTTTGTTGAGCCACTCCTCATTCTGCCACAGCGGAAGCCAGAATATTGGGCAATTCTGAATATCTACTCTAAACACCCCATCTATGACTAAGTTGAAGTAAAAGCATATGCTTTCTTTAAATTGAGTGTTCCATGCTGTGCGGACAGAGAGACAGACAGATGCACACGCACACACGCACACCCTTGCCCCCTCTGACATCATTATCAAACTCAGGAAATTTCACCACCCTCTTAGCTGCAGTCCATAATCTAGCAGCTGTAGTCGGCCATAGGGGAGGAGTAACAGGAGAAAGAACAATTAGTTCGTAAATAGGAAATGTTCCCTGCCGAATCCAGAGGGGAGCAACCTGGCTTTGGCTTGGAAGTCTGCTCTGCCATCATTGCCTGTTTTCGCTGGAGCTGACGAGCATGCAATGGAACTGCAGGGGGCCAAGTACAAGCTATACAATACTGTGTGGGAGCTCAATTATCCTTCAAGGAGGAACCTCTCTAAGCTGCAGTTGCTCACTGTTTGCACAACAACAGAATTTTGGAAAAGTTCAGGGTCTGTTTGCTGCTTCTTTCTTTTAGGACTGTGATGCCAAGAAGCCCCTTTCTTAGCAAGGCCACTAGTCCTGCTAGCTGAGGGATTCTGACAGTCACAGTCCAAAAAAAGATCTGTATACAAGCCCTGACAACCACCCAACAGCCTTCCAGCAAAATAATTGGTTATGGCATTTCACCAGCCCCAGTCTCAAGCAGCGTAGACACAAGTTCTGCACCTGCAGAAAGGAAGCCCTGTAGTCCAGCCCTTCCCAACTATCTTCCCCAATCTCTCCTTCCCTCCACAGTCCTCAGTCTGGTGTACTTCAGCCAGGGCCCACAGAGCGAAAGCCTTGGGACTTCCTGTATGCCAAGGCCTGTGGCACCATTTGTCACTCCCCTCAGGTTGCCATCTTCCCTCTCAGTTTATCTGCAATCCTCACAACAGCTGAGGGGAATGTGGGTTTTCCAGGAATTATATATTGATTCTATCTACTTTTTTTGTAATGCAAAATATTTGAAGCTGGTTTGGTTTTATATGGGCAATTAAGAGCCACTAACATTACAAAAGACCCATTCTTCCTCTGTTAACATGGACCAATCCAGATGCCTATCTTTTTGGACTCTCCTTGCTGTCATGGGGAAACTATGGGGGATGTCATGACAAGAACCTGTACTTCCACCTTTATCACTACATCCCCGGTGTCATAATTACTGTACTGACACTTATCATGGCAGCTGTTACTGACAGGAGAAAGACCCTCCTACCTCTCACATACAGGTAATAATCTCACATACAAGAAATAATCTTCTCCAGGATACCCCTTGGCATACAACATCCTTTCACTGAGAATTCTGTGCTAGAGACTGGAGAGACAGATGTTTGCTGGATGAATACAGCATACATGAGGCACACATTAGGTGATGATGGTATCCCAAAGGAAGCTGCCCAGTGGGGTGAATGTTGCTTGGCTTCCCTTTCCACCTGCACAGTTATTGTAGGAGCATAGACTGAGACAAATGATGTCTGCTGTGGTTTGTTCAGTGGTGTAGTGAAACGAATCCTTGCAGAAGTCCACCATTCCTGGATACCTGATGTTATGTACACTCTAGCTGAGAAAATAGCTGTGCACCCCAGTAGATGCTGATCTATCATTTTCTTCTTATTATTTTTTTAATTGGCCTAACAAACACATCAACCCTTTTCATTTCAACAGGAGACAGTTAAGTGTGGTCATTCTTCCACAACAATCAGTGAGGACGCATGCTTAATATTGGCTGAGTCATGTTACTTATTTTAAGAAGTAAAGTTAATTGGCCCAAAGTTCATCATGAGTGCCTGAAACAGGGGACAGTCACATCTAGACATACACACATCTGTAGAAGCAGCTCTGGTAGTTTTGCTTGACTTTGCCAGCTGTTGGAAGCAGCAGAGAAAGCCTGTAAAAACTGGTGGACTGGAAAATATGGGAGTTTTTGGTGGTAGTGGAAGGTGAGAACCATGGCAGATTAATTTTTATCATCTGTGCACAACTGGAGTGAGCCACAATCCAAGCAAAAGGTGTGTCATTAAGCCCATTGATTTCAATGATATTAACTTGTCATTAGCCTCTGGCTGAGTATTGTAGTTACAACAATATGTTGAAATAGCTGAAGATAGCGGGCATCGTTCCCACAAAATTTAAAAAGAGATGTTACTATGCATAGATCCACAGGATAACACAGACCGTAGATTCACAAGGTCCCAGATTCAATCTGGAGCATTTTCAATGAAATAGATTTCAGGTTACAAGAAGGCTTGAAGAGACCATGACCCACCCACTCTATCAAAGGATAATGATGGGCTAGATGACCCAGTTTTGTAGAAGGGATCTTCATCAGCGAACCAAGTTATAATAATTATCCTTAAGACCAAATGCATGCACCAGCTGAACATCAACGAGGGCATGCTTAACTCATTGCCTTCTAGCCATTTCCTCAAAAATGGTTTTCCTCCAGTGCTCTGCTAGCAAGTAGGAGCAACAGAAAATACATTACATTATTCTTCCCAACATGAAGAGGAAAGCAGTTTGAAGGAGGGTGGTCTGAAGCAGAAAAATAACAGTGGGGCAAGGGCCTCATCTCCTTTGCTCAATCAAGACTGCATCTTCACGCTGCCTTTTCCTTTTTTACAGAAGGCAAGAAAACACAGCGGGAAGTTTGACCCTAGGTCAAAATGGTATTGCAGTCATTTCACTATTGCAGGTATATGTGAGATTAGGATTTAAGGTGTAATGGATTCCCTAAAGACCATATATGTGGGACAGGAAGCAACAGTTAGAACTGGATATGGAACAACTGACTGGTTCAAAATTGGGAAAGGAGTATGACAAGGCTGTATATTGTCCCCCGGCTTATTTAACTTATATGCAGAATAAATCATGTGAAAGGCAGGACTGGAGGAATCCCAAGCCGGAATTAAGATTGCCGGAAAAATATCAACAACCTCCGATATGCAGATGATACCACTCTGATGGCAGAAAGTGAGGAGGAATTAAAGAACCTCTTAATGAGGGTGAAAGAGGAGAGTGCAAAAAATCATCTGAAGCACAACATAAAAAAAAAACAACTAAGATCATGGCCACTGGTCCTATCACCTCCTGGCAAATAGAAGGGGAAGATATGGAGGCAGTGACAAATTTTACCTTCTTGGGCTCCATGATCACTGCAGATGGTGACAGCAGCCAGCTTCTTGGGAGGAAAGCAGTGACAAACCTAGATAGCATCTTAAAAAGCAGAGACATCACCTTGTCGATAAAGGTCCGCATAATCAAAGCTATGGTTTTTCCTGTAGTGATGTATGGAAGTGAGAGCTGGACCATAAAGAAGGCTGACCACCGAAGAATTGATGCTTTTGAATTGTGGTGCTGGAGGAGACCCTTGAGAGTCCCCTGGACTGCAAGGAGAACAAACCCATCCATTCTAAAGGAAATCAAGGCTGAGTGCTCACTGGAAGGACAGATCCTGAAGCTGAGGCTCCAATACTTTGGCCATCTCATGAGAAAAGAAGACTCCATGGAAAAAACCCTGATGGTGGGAAAGTGTCAAGGCAAGAGGAGAAGGGGACGACAGAGGACGATATGGTTGGACAGTGTCATCCAAGTGACCAGCATGAATTTGATCCAACTCCAGGAGGCAGTGGAAGACAGGTGGGCCTTGCATGGTCTGGTCCATGGGGTCACGAAGAGTCGGATTCAACTTAACAACTAAACAACAACTAAAGACCCACCAGTATGTTCATAATAAATGTGAGGTTTGAATGAGGGACTTCTCTGTCCATAGTTCAGTCTCCATATGTTCTGTGGTACAGCACAAGAGCTTGTTCCGTGTCTGTGCTATTTCATTTTCTCTTTGCATATGGGCTTCTAGTCATGGGAACCAGGGAACTGCCTGTCTGGTTGGAAAAAAAAGATTGTATATTTTGGTTACCACCAGTGCTTGTTTATAGATAAAAACGAAGGTGCTTGCCTGCACCTGCACAGCAGCTGAATCTCATCAGAGACTGTAGAGAAGCAAAGAACATTGTTACTCATAATTTCATTCATTCATTCTTGCTTAGCATGCACAACAACTGTGGAAGATATGAAATGCCTATTCCATGATCACTTGTGTATGTTTAAAATATCAGGACAGATCAGTGGCAGTATATATGGACTACATACAAAGCTATGGCTTAATCTTTCTCCACATGCTATAACAGATGACGACTCAGAATCCAGCATGTCCTGGCTTATGTAACAGATTCGGCTGCAAGGAACCCATCATGCAGAGAAGTGATGGCAATAGCTGCATGTTCCTAAAGGATCTCCCATTCAGTAGCTTAAAATGCTCTGCAGTGATGCTGGCTATGGGGGGCAGGAAGGAATAGGAACTGGTGTATTTTAAATAAAAGTGGTAAGTGATAAAAGTGTGGTGATTAAAAGACAGACATCTGGATTAACACAGTGATATGAGAACCAGACTGCAAACACAAGCAGTCTGGCTGCAATCTGTGCTAAATGGGAATGGAATCAGGCAGCGTTGGTGCTCCAGGTGAAGGACTGCTTTCTTTCTCTGAAAGTCTTGTCAGTGCACACTGTGGCTGCATTTTTAGTATAAATCAATGTCACATTTTCAGATCTAGGGTTCCTACAACACACCAGCCGATTAAGTCGATACCTCGTTGATATCCCCCCCCCCCAGTAAATGTCTTTGTAAACAAGATAGATAGCTCTTTAAACAAATGCAGTGGTAATGTATGATCTTTTGAAAGGACAAAAGATGGAACTGTATGAAACCAAATCTTTATTTAGACACTTAAGTGGTGCTCAATTATATTCAGTTAGAGACCACTCCTATACAGTATATGAATGCTGACCTACAGAGACAGGAATGTGATTGTGGGAGCATGTGCTTT